TGAAAGAAGAAGCGGCGATGGAAGATGAAGAAGAGGTCAGGATGGTGATTTGAGCACTCGATGACAAGAATACCGTGAAGTGCCAACTACGTCAACACAAGGAGTGCTGGGCTACTTTTGGAACTAAGGCAGTACGCATAGATATGTTTGGAAGCGGCGGGAAAACGAAGTGAGAAGCAAATCAAAGTCTGACGCGTAATGTCAGAAAAGACTCAGGGAGGATGAGGAAAATGAAAGGCTTATATTCGTTTTCTAGAAAGAACAGCGTGAAGAAGTACAACAAATGACATTAATGTGAGCACTCTGAAACTAAAGGTGATGAAGAATTCTAATGATGCGTTTGAAGCATCAGTCTATCATGAAAAGTGTGTCAGGAAAGCGTGCAGCAACTCGATTGCTTCAACATCGTCACCCCTAACCGTGAATGCATGCTCCTGTCAAAATCACTAGCCTTCCGCACTTTCTAATACCTCTCTAACATCAGAGCAGAGGAACATGTCGGTCACATGATGTATCCGCATCAACCTTGCCTAATTTAAGTCAATTCTGGAGTAAGGTACAGTAATAACATCTTTCACAGCAACAAAACTGTCTGGATTAAACATATATCGAATGAGACCTGTGTAGATGTGAGCCAAGAATACAATAGTTCGAGCATTTTAGAGGCCGCACGCCCTTCGCGTTTATCAAACGAGGTACCATTACTGCGACAGAAAGCTGTGGTCAAGCAAGAATCACTGGACTCGTTATTTTCCAAGGGTTAAAAACATCTTTTTCATCTTCATCTTCATCTTCCGTCGCCGTTTCTCCTTTCGGGGCGCGGAGGTTAAAAACATCGAAAAATGTAATTATACGGCCATAGCCACAGAGGCAAATGGAATTTCAGCTTCAATGACGGCGATTTTGTTGGCAGTTCACGAAGATGGCGAAGGCTGTAAAAAATAGTCAATTATCGGTAATAAATCATTATGATGTCTAACGAGAATAGAGTTTAGCCAAGAATACCAAAAAGTATTTTACGATATTCGAATAAAATGACTATATATATGGAATTATGGCAGATAAAATTGAGCAACGATGGAAATCATGACATATCACTTGCATAATGGAAAGTGGTTTGAGCTTGCAATTAAGAAGTGCCAAATGAACCATGTCGCATCAGTAACCGTCGAAGAATACACCACGGAGATACCATCAGCGTTGTTCGCCACGGCCATGGAGTCACTTTTCAAATGGCTAAGCTGGTGGTACGGTAAAAATATTGATGGACAGCAACAAAAGCATATATGTTTTGCAGACGACTGCATCGTCTTCGTGCAAAAACGACGGAACTCCAGCAGAAGATGCAGCAGTTGCAAAAAGAATCAATCACCTTGTGTTTAGAGGTTAACTACTTCGAGGCGAAACTAAGGAGATGCAAGCAATATCCTGAGGGTTTATCCATGCGAATGGAGAACTTGAAGAAGTCACCAGCTCTGCATACCTTGGTGGTAAGTAAGTGAACCGCATGAAAGAGTTAGACGAGAAAATCAGCAAAAGAAGGAATCCACCATGAACCAATTATAATCCATTTAAAGTTCGCTACAAGCCAGTGAGCTATCCATGTTGGCGACGAAAGAACTGTTCGATTCAACTGTCGCATCCGCCGTTATCTGCAACACGGAATACTGGTGCATTGCTGAAGCAGTGCTAAACTAACGGATGATCATGCCAAGAGCGATCAAGCAATGAATGGGCAAGGTATCCATCAAGAATCACGTTCAGAGAGCACAAGTTCGAAAATGGATTGAACTAACATACGTGATTTCTGCCTTCTGCGACGCCAAGAGAAGATGGATCGGCTCCATGGAT